AAAAAAAACACAAAAAAAAAGTCGGCAATAGGGGGGGGGGGGGGGGGGCACCTTTCAACACAAAGTATGTAGGTAAAGGACTCCCCACTACCACTCACTCAGGAACACCGAATATGAAAACAGGAACTGAATATGCAAAGAGTGACTGGTCAACCCCATATGTTTTTACTACTTTTCCTTTATACTGGGGGGATAAAAGTTTTAGTGCAGTATAACACTTTGGTAGGCAATAGTACATTTTATGTAGATGTCTATACATCAGACCAACAAGAGGGACAACTGAGGAGAAAAGAGAGACATAGGGATTTGGTTCTAAAAGAGGGACAGTCCATCCAAATAAATGACAGTTGGGAGCTATGACAATTCTACCTCTACACAGGCTATCCCCCCTTTAGTTTATCATGAATGCTGCTGACAGTATTGTGCTCTTTATCCATCTTTTCTTGTCTAATTACTGCTTATCTACTCCAGCCTCTTTCAGCACTTTCCTGTCTACATTCTCCAGAGTCAGCTAGACATCATTGGACCGGCTTCTCGATGAAGACATTAGTGGGCCATGCCTGTGCAATGTGTGTTGGCACAGCTGTTTTTTAGTCTTAACCAGGGGCGAATGTGATAAGGAGCACAATTGAAGACAGTTATCACCCATAAATGGAAATGCCTGAAGAAGGACTTTCCTGGCCTTAAAACCAGGTATTCTGTTTAGTGAAAACTGCAGATTACAAAAATATTGAAAACAACTTTTAAAATTATATTTACATGTTAACGTGGAAATGAAGTTGTTAAAAAAAATGCTGATTGGCAGGCTTTATATGACAGAAGAGAGCGTGTAAGTTTATACGCCGAGCCACACACGCACAGATCTGGCATGCTGAGATTAGGTAACTCCCAATGCGCATGCACAGGATTCACGTCATCAGGGCCCAGCTAATCAAGCAGTTGATGACTTGAAACCTGGAAGAAGGTCAGGGTGAAGATGGAAGTGCTGGCAAGGGAGAAGTGCAGTGCTAGAGGCAATCGGTTTGGCAGGCAAGTCTGCCATAATGTGCTAATATTGTCCCCCTTTATTTTTAGTTGAACGCTTTACCTCTGCTTTAAACCTTTTTTTTTAGCGATTGCGTTTATATGTAGTTTAACAGCCTCTTTCAGTTTATCCCTGAACGTTAGGCTACCGTGTATAAAAGTTGCGTTGTGGACAAAGAAAATAAAATGCAATCTAAGTTAAGGTATATTCTCTATCAACATTATTCCTAATAATTTTGCCTTGCCTTTTAAAATTATTTTTCTGATATATCAGTATTTAACTATCCGCCCTGATTATGGTAAAGGTTCCAATGGGCTGTAGTGGTTACAGCACAATACAATAACAGTGGTTCTGCCACTTCCAGTCTCACCATGGCTCGGAGTATAGACCTATAGGACCCATCACCCACAGAACCTAGGTCAGTGCAGCTTTTGCAGGGATCCCTTATCCTAGACTACACCTTCTAGGGTCATGTGACCTGATTTTTGAAGACAATGTTATGGGGCTTTCATAATTTTATTATTATAAGTGAAGTTTTTAATGCATGTACTGGGGGGTTTCCCTTGTAAATAATGACATTAACCTCTTGCCGTCCGCCCGTAGTAAAAAAACGGACGGACGGCACTGCAGCATCTGCGGGTTGCCGTCTTTCGGTAATTTTTCCTTAATATAGTAAAAAAATAAAACCCCCAGTGGTGAATAAATACCACCAAAAGAAAGCTCTATCTGTCCCCAAAAAAGGGTATAAAATTCATTTCAGTACAGCGCTGCATGACGGAATAAATGTCAGTCAAAGTACCGCAGCGCTGAATACTGAAAAATGGCCTGGATGGGAAGGGGGTTTAACACCGCGGATGTCAACTGGTTAATTAGTTATATTTAGTGATTTTTGATTTGTATTTGCCAATATACACTATGTGAGTGAATCTTTGGGCTTCATTTGTGAGGTTAAGATAATCAATGTTGCCCCAAAATAGCCAATGATAGCACATAGTTAGAATGTTGAAATGGGAAATAAGGTAGCTGTGGGGAAACATAGACATTTGGCAACAATTCTTCCTCAAACATCTTAATAAATGAGGCCTGGTGTGATATATACAGTAGTCAATTATGATGTTTTCCTCACCTGCAGGAATCTGGGTGGAATATCTTATTCTTCTCACAGCATGAGTCCAGGTTCTCACTACATTCATTACAGGTGCAGTTTTCTTTGTTGAGGACCTGGCTCCTGGAACATTCCAGCTTACAGACACATTCACAGCTGTCTTCAAACTCCATGTTTGCACCACACAAGGCAACCTCTGTGACAAAATAATACATCCTGATGTGAGTTTTGACAACCTAAACAATGAGTATGGATATAAACTGAGGTCTTCAAAAACCGTTTTAGATGCTGGAATCTTGGTTTATAGGGGACATTTTCCTAAGTTTTCTTTTTTACAAAAAACTAACCTAACCTAACTGTCTGGCATCTTTGGAATTGAGAAAAGTGGTTGCACTAGCAACTGAGACATGACTTAATAATTTGTCAGATATTTCTGGGCCATTTTGACCCCTTTTGCCATTGAGTGAAAACAGACTTTCTGTATGATGGGGATTTTAATTGCCTTTTTATTATCAAAACTCTGCATAATAAATACCAAAATTCTGAATAACTATTTAACATCAACCATGACTTGGCACCTAACCTTTGGTACAATTAAAACAAGGAGAGGTCTTTCAAATCACAGCAAAATACACCACAACTGTACTTGCCTGAGCTGCATCAAACAACTTTGAGGGCATTTTCAAACATAGGGCTCAATCCAAACAGCTTTAAAGTGGCACTAAACTCAGGAGTTAAATCCTAAAATGCATTCAAGTACCTTTTAACTATTACCAAAAAATGTATCTTATTTGTGTATCACTCGGCTGTAGATTCTCAAATCATCTCTGAATTGGTGCTAACACTGTCCTTCCTTCTGGAGGGTGGATACTTTGTTCCCCATGGTCCCCGTGTGTGTTGTAAAGTAGCCACCGCTCCAAGCAAAGCCACTATTAGGGGAATGCTTATACAAACAGCAACCCACCTCAAAAAGAACACAGAAGCGCACACTAAACAAAAAGATTTAGCTATGTCTGAATTAATCAAAGAACACTAAACCAAAATTTTGCTCTTTGTATTAATAAGATCCAACTAGGCTAGAATGTTATTTTTGCCTTACAACAAAAGCGGAAAAAAGTCTCCAATGAATGCATGCTAACTTTTATACCCAGACAGATGAGCTGGGGACACTGCAAGCCAGAAAACTTAATCCCTGGCCATCCAACATTGCAATCCCCAAAATGTATAAATCTGATGGCGCTGTCACCCAAAATCCCCCAATCCAGTAAAAACTTTAATACTCCCCTGACCTTTACACTACTGCTCACCAGACCCAGAGTCACAACATCTCATTTTCTATCACAGACTGATAGGGACACTAGAATAAGAAATAACATCAGAGTAAGTCCTGCTTGCTATATAACAGTCTAAACCTTCTAAAGACCCAGGTCCCGTCGGATTTACAGTGTTATATTACAAAACATTTGCCCCACAGTGAGTGTTGCACCTAGTTAAATATTTTAAAGCACTCCGGAAGGGCACACCCTCAGATGAGGACTCTAACAGAGTCCACATTTGTATTATCCCTAAGCTCATTAAAGACTTGCGTAAGGTAGCAAAGTACAGGCCGATATAATTTGTTGACCGTGATTTCCATATATGAACAAAAATTTGAGAGAACCATCTTAATGGATTCCTAGTTCCTAATAGACAGGCGTCAGCTCAAACTTTAATAGGTTCAAAATAAGATGGCAGGAGATATGAAGGAGATGCTAATTTTTCTAGACCTACAAGGCTTTTGATACATTATCCTGGCTGTACCTTTTCCACGCACTGACTAAGTGGGACCTTGGTCCCTTTTTACTCCACCCTAACAGTGGGTATTAAATCCTTTGTCATTCCTCCTATTTAGAGCTATTGAAACATTAGCCTTAGCTTTGCACACAAAATTCAATATCCTAGGCATCATTAGTGGAAATGCACACCACATATGCACCCTCTTTGCTGACGACTTACTAATTGTTACTTCCCCAATCACCATACTACCCAATTTCCTCATGATTGTGAGGGAATTAGGAACCAAATGGGGACATTAAATGTCAGCCTACCTGACTCTACTGTCACGGACCTCAGAGATCAGTTCTCCTCTTGGCAACCTAACTCCATGAACTACTTGGGAATTTGGCTTACCTCAGACATAGCCATGCTCTATAAATTTAATTACACCCCTCTTTTTGCAAAATTGACAGTTGGATTTGTGGCATACCTGCTCTCTTTCCTGAATGGGTAGAACTGCTATGATATAAAAATGAATCTGCTTCCAGAAATCTTGAATTATTTCAAAACCTTATCTACCACCATCCCCTCTCCTGATCTAAACTGATTCCAATCTCACATCCTAAAACGTATCTGTGGTTCTAGGCATTAAAGCACAAGACCTTTATACACGTTCAAAGCATGGTGGGGTCCAGAACTCCTGAAATATTATAGGGTATCCCATCTAACCCAGCAGTCTATAAACAAGATTGGATAACAAGTGAATCTCAGACGGGTACTATCTTATAGACCTCTTGATGTGGCTGTCGCCAAAAAAAAAAAACAGAGCAGTTTTATCTTCCACACTCTTGCACGCATTACACTTGTGGGACACAATCTGTAAATTTTTATCCCGTTTATACCATACAGGACACTATATCACTGGGTAGTCCTGACTGCAGACTATTTCCTTCTAACGCTTACAATGCCTCCTTCAGTAACTTGTCGCATGTACCATCTTTCAAATACCCTCAAAAAAGAGACGTATGATATTATTACAATTACTTTAAAAAAAAAGACCTATTTCCTGTCAGAGCGCTAGATCGTGTGATCCAAGTTGCTGTCTGACATTTCAACTAAGCTTCCCTACAGACTAGTTTGGAAGACAGACTTAGATCCAGAGATCAGTGAGGAGGACTGGAATACACAAGGGGATACTTAATATGACCCTCATAGAGGCTAAATACAAAGTCCTCTATCTCAATGGTACCCGCTAGAATCGCTAAGATCTTCACCAATGCCTTCCCAACCTGTTTGAGAAGGTGTGGACAAATGGACACAATGGGGTTGATTTACTAACCTTATAAACACACCACGAACATGTATACACCTCTGTAGTGTGTTCCCTCCCAGCATGATCTATGGGTGGAATCTAAACACCTTTTGTAGTGTGTACACACCCAGCAGGTGTGTTGTGCAAAGCCTTGCATGAATTACAAGGTAATGTTGTGTAAATTAGCTCTATGTTGTGTTGCTTGCGTTAATGAATGCAGGAATGTAAATGCATGAGCTAACCATTTTTGTCTAAACTGTGAAGCAGCATTATATATGCATCATGTGCATGATTTTTCCATATATGGCATTAGTGGAAATATGCTTTTAGAGACTTTTTGGTTGATAAATACGTTTTGCTGTGTGAAAATCACACGCACCTGGTGCGTGCGTGTGTTTTAAGTTAGTAAATCACCGCCATTGTTTCATACTTGGTGGACCTGTTCCAAAATCAAATGAGAAAGCATTTAATGAAATACTCTGTTACCAACATTAATATGCCTAAGTAAGCCCAGTATTCTTGGCCATGAAAGTATCCAATGCTATTTCATGGATATCATGCATGGTTGATCTTGCCACAATAAAACAATACAATTTCCTGGATTGTGCCTCATGAAAAAAATGGCAGGCATTTTGCAAGGCACACAGGAGAAGTTTGAGAGTGTCTGGAACCACTGGATACGCTATATACACTTTTCTGTTTAGACTCAATACCATGGAGTTGGGTGGGGGGAATTCTTGGCTGAATGGGGAGCTTGGTTTCTTCTTTGTCCTTATTAGTGTTTTTACTATCTTTACTGTTTTCTATAAGTGATTAATAGTTAATACAACTGAAAATATTTTATAATATGTTCTAGAAGGGGCTCCAACCCTAAATGATGTTACCAGATCAATGGACCGTTCCAGGCCTGCCTATGCTTTCCCATTCAATGACGCCAGATGTCTAGACCTAGACACCACATTTTGGTACTCAGCTATATTTGATGACCTTTCATCTTACTTTTACTATATACGTTTGTCCTAGGTTTCTATTTTACATACTGAATGCTAATGATGTCAGACCAAAAGACATATGTTTGTAAATTCTCTTTATTAAAATCAATTAAAAAAACACTCCATTAGAAAATTATAGTTGTAGAAAGGAAATTTGCATTTTACCGGCAGCCGTGAAATATCTGCAATAGTTTTCCCTTCAGATAGTTTACAAGGAAGGCCCAATATGATAATGAGATTAGTGACCAACAGTTAAAATAAATAAATAAGGAGCAGCAGAACCAAGTCAGGTTGTAGAGAATAGGGATCATCAGAAAAGATTGTGGGCAGAGATAGTCCATGGAAGAAGAGGACACCACAACCCTTGTATCAGGGTATGGAGGATCAGATAGGCCTTTTGTCTTGCATCTCTATGTCTATTTATACATGAAAAGATTCAGTACCTTCCCTTCTTCTATTGAGTGAAGACTTGTTTTCCAGCACACACGCACATTGGCTGTTATCCCACTGCCAACCAGGAGGACAGTGTCTGTTATCTTGAAGACACCTACAAAAAACAGTAAAATGATTTAATACTTGAATAATGATCACTTGTTTTGCACTAGCTGTAACTGATAGGGAGTAGGTGGCCACTAAAATGAGAGTTGGTGGCCACTAAAATGAATTGAACTATTGTTTTATAGAAAAACTTTGGCAAACGCTATTTGTGTCTTCATAACCACATAACACAAATATATTATAAATTTAAAATACTGCAACCTTTTCTGTATAACAAAAGTGAAAAAAAAATTTAAAATAGAGAAAATAAGCAAAAAAAATCACACCGCCGCGCGTTTCACTGAACGGAAATCCGTGCTGAAAAACGAGCAGAAAAAATACGCCCAGGTGTGAACCCAGCCTTAGAAATCTCCAGGGACCCGGATCCCAGTTATACTCCAGAAAATCTGGAAAGAACTGGAAACCCAGCTCCTTCCCTGTAACACCATACGTTTTCTGGACCCTCTCAGCCCGCCCCTCTGGCCGATAGTCCTGGGAGCCTAACACAGCAATTACCATAGTGACATGGCACTGTCCCGTCACACGTGTAAAAGCTAAACAGGTATGTACCAGGAAAAATAGTTCAGCTTTCACACTAAAATGGACATTTGTAATGCTTACCTGTATGAAATGTATCATGTCATCTAATATTAGGTAGTGGGTCAACTATGTATCAGGTACTGATAGTTGCTCTCCCATTGTAAGCAATGAAGCTAAACATGCTAATTAATTATATTCTGTTTCTTCAACAGCTATTCGTGTAAAATAATGTACTATTGCTTTACCGTAAACTACAGCGAAAGTCTTCCTCTCCTGGCCGCGTCTGTGCAGTACATGCCTATTGACTTCTATGGGGCCTTCTCCCTGATAGGAGACAGAGGTGGACGAGGCGTGACTCAGAGAGGGAGACTTTCACTGCAGGATGTAAACAAACAAAGGAGACTGGGCCTGTCGGAACTCGGTAATTATGCACCTCTGTAGTAGAAGGGTGGGATTAGTTAGGTCAGCTTTAAGGGGCCAAAGGTAAAAGTGCATTTATATGTTAAATAAGGCAGTGTATTCACTTTATATGAATTGGTGAAGTGGCATGCTTCTCTTCTTTACATAGATCCATCACTTCAGTGCCTATCTCAAAAAGGTATAGTCCTTTCTTGTATTGAGAAAACATTTGAGCATCCATTCAATCTAGTTAGAGTTCATGTTGTTATTTTACAGTAAACCTATGCTGGTAGTAATGACATCAGTGGCGGACCTACCGCCGGTGCGGCTGCACCAGGGCCTCAGCCTGGGGGGGCCAAAACAGTCCTGGCGTGTGCATAGATGGTATCCAGCGGCCAGCAGGCACCCTGTCTCTGTGCCGGGAGTGTTCGATCATCCGTTCATCTGACACTCCCGGCGCAGAGATGGGGGGCCCGCCGGCTGCCAGATACTGATCTCAATATCCCACACTCCGACGCGCTGAATTGGGGGAGGGGATGGGGGCTAGGTGCACGCCCGCTTCCCGGATACCCAGATATTATGGGGCCCGTCTGCCCTGTGAGGAGGGAGCCGAGGAGATGTGAAGACGGCCCTGCAGGATGCAGGCACATAATAGGGAACCTATGGGGCCTCGGACGGCTGTGAGGACCCAGCAAGCAGGACACAGACACTGGGTTTTTCTGCAGCCTGAGTCCCACACCAGGAAACAGCAGAAGACCAGCCAGAAAAGGTAAGGGTAAATAATTAATTAAAAAAAATATTATTTGTAGCCTGATGTTGTGTAATGTACAGCTGGTATTTGTAGTGCTCTATAGCAGGTGCCATTCTGCAATGCAGAATGGGACCCTCTATAGAGGACTACAAATCTCAGCAGTACTTTATACAGAAATGCTATAGTTGTATAAAGTATTGCTGGGATGTGTAGTCCTCTATAGCCTGTGCCATTCTGCATTGCTGTAAATATTAGGGACGCACCGATACATTGGCCGCCGAAGCATATCAGCCGAAAATGGCACTTTTGGCTAAATGCCTAAAGTGCAATTTTTTTGACCGATACAGCGGTGCATCCCTGCTTTCTTTTCTCCCCGATGGCCGCTGCTCTGTGTCCCAGCGGGGACGGTCGAGCACTGTGAGCAGCCAGCGTCTCTCATCCCACACCGCTCAGCCTCCTATCACAGTCCGGTGTTCTATCGCAGATTGTGACTGCGTTAGAATGTGTGACCGCTGACATCATCACACTTTCTAATGTAATCACGCCCATTTTTTTGGAGGTAGAATGTGTGACCAGTCACGTGGTGACGTCATTCTGAGCCTGATGAAGGGGACCCTTAGAGGCCCCGAAAGCGCTTGAAGTTGAATGGCAATGTGCCAATAAATTGACTATTGCTTCATTAACCCTTGGAGTGCTTGTGACGTTATTTTTCTATCGTATTTCTTCACGGTGCCATCCGTGGCCACTACAAGCACCCACCCGTCCACACGGGTCTTTCTTTGACTCCGGTAACGAGTGCAGCAAGAACTTTTGATGTCTTCGGTCATAAAAACCCTACCTGTCAGCAGTTTTTTAAATTATAACTTTACTTCCACTTTAAATAAATTAAATGCAAAACCGATTTTTCTTTTGTTTCTTTCAAAATGTTATTTCTTTAAAATGTTAGTTTCTTCTTTGGCATCCATTGGGATTTTGCCTTTCTTGGCCATAATATGTGGCTGTCTCCCAAATCCCAGCGTGTTGATTAGTAAATAAGCACAATAATACTGCAAAGTTGGTCCAACAGCAAATGATTTCCTTTGCGAAATAAACTTTTGTTGTTTTGGGTCTTTTAAAAAAAACTTTTTTACTGCATGTTATAAAACAAATAACTTTATTATTGCATTTTTGTGTACATTGTATTAAACATTGTTTTATTCTACTTTTAGCCCGCATATCTTAAATGTCCAATTTATTTACCTCCGAGGCATTTTTAGGGCCAGACGTATAATTTTACATTGCAGGGGATCTGAGTACGGCAGAATAAGTTAATAGGAAACAGATCACACTGGAATAGTCATGTTTATCATTCCTTTGTCCTCATTACTCAAGCTTGCACATAACACAATCTTCTACAGTTCACATATTTGTATACCTGTAATCGAAATGTAATCAGGATACATATGAGAATGGCACCACGCAGGGGCTTTATGCACAACCGTTTTACCTATTTTTCACACTGAATCATCTGTGTTTACCTCATAAAACCCTGCTGTTCATAGGGAGGAAAACTACCCCCCTTGGTGAACAAGGGACAAAACACATGTGTTTAGGAATGTAGACAATAATATTCCTGCTTTTTTTTTGTGAGACATTCCTTCCTATTGTGTAAGAATGCTTCTTAGAAACGCATCGACTGTCACATTTTGTTAAGTCACAAACCATGTATTAGAGAAGATCTAAAGTCACAGCACAGTGGCTTCTTCATAAGAGGGGTGCAGGGGGTGCGACCCCCACCAGGAGACACCATCAGAGGGGGTAACACCAAAATGACTTGTAGTCATTTTGGTGTCACTCCCTCTGAAAAGTCGGGCACTTGGTTATGGGCTGAGCTGTACGAGCAAAGAGGGGACCCGGCGGCATACCTTATCCCGCTGGATAAACATCCCCTCCCCCTTCTGACGGCATCTATCAACGCTGGCAGTTGATGACATTGCGCATGTTGATGTCACACACACGCACAATGACGTCAAGTACATGCGTGATAGCGTCCCGGTGGGTGACAAGCGGCGGCCGCTCCAGGTGACACCTTGGCTAGGGATGCCTCTGTCTCAGCATACTGTATACTATACTGTTATAACATCAGCATTGTGAATGATAATTCTCTCTTTGAATAACTTTTGAGTGCATTGTGATCAGGGTATTTTCACCTAGGTAGTGGTATTGTATCCTTTAGGGATTTCCTAAGTGTTCATCTCAGATTGCAATCTCTCGCGGAAGCACTGTGCAGACTGTTGGTGCTATATAAATCCTATGAAATATTAAGAATGATCTCTGCTCATCATCCAGAAGCATGATGTACACACATTTTGAATGAACTGCAGATAAAGGTTTCTATTTCTCAAAGCACCGACCAATTTAATGGTCTTCCAAAACAGTAACTTTCAAGGCACGCCAACTGTCAATGGTGCCAGTTTGCTTAATTCAATCACTTGACCAAACCTTTAAGCCCTCAAATGGCTGGTGTCACAGCGAATCACTTATGCAGCACTTTGGCAACTGCAATCCAAATAAAGGCTAAGATGGCACCTTCCTTGGTTGTAAATGATAAGAGGTTAAAGTTCTGCTTTAAAATGGCTTTGTCACTGTAGTAAAAAAGAAAGCTGAAGACTGGTATACAATTTGTATCTGCAGCAGCATACATACAAAATTCTAACATGAATGTGATTTCCAGGTAAAATACTTCATGTGATAATGCGCATGTGATAGGCACAAACCAAAACCTTCCTAATATGTCTGGGATTCCATTCAGGTAGCAGATCTGGTCTAAATTTTGAACTAAACCAGTTAATATAATGATGGCAAGATGGAGTGTTCTGATGAACATTTTGTTTCATGATTTTGAATGATAATTCAAACCAAATTCCATTGGTGTATAGCCAGTTTAACATGCCTGCTTTTGAGGACATCAAGGCTTGTAATAACCTTCTGTTGATATTGGGATGAGTAGGGAGTACACAGTGTGATGATGGAGCGGATACTGTGAGTGGCTATGTGCTACATACACTGCACTGCAACTGACTGCTCTGGAAAAGTCACTTGCTAGCCAAAATTATCAGAGGTGATTACATGCAGATCACAGTATTCTTTTGCTATGAAAAGAGCATGAATGATGAGCAACTTGTATACCCTACTCAAACCTTTGATATGTTTTTTGTGGATACAGGTGCATTTTAAGGTTGTGATAATCATCAGTGATTGAATGCATGGTCCCTAAAAATAAAACATCCAATCAAGCAAATGTTGTATGTAGACTATGGAGAAGGGCGCGAAAGATGCACTGGAGATTTGTCTGGCACCAGTCTATCGAGGGGGCAAAAAACAGACATCTGACAAACTATTTTGTCTCAGTTGGAAGTTTCTGCTGCTGACCCGTAGACATGAGATTGTCTCCCAATCCAGCTAATCTATACCTTCAAAAACGATGCAAAGTCTTAGTATATCAAGGCACTCTATTGTAGTTGTGTGCTTTGTTGAGTAACCAGTATGGTCCTCAGGACATGCATTGGGCTAGTAGCAGCACTACAAGCCAATCAGGCCTCACTACAATGCACAAAATGCTGTTAAGAGTGTAAAGTACAGGGCCCAATAACAGGCTCGGCCAGTCCTTGACCAAGTTGTATTGTTATAACTGCAGTAGCAGAAAGTGAGGTCAGCTTATGGCAGTGCTGTCTGAAAGGAATATCTCAATTATTAAAGGAGAACTATGGGGTTAGGGCTTTTCCCCTGTCACGGCAGAGAGCTGTGACAGGATCGAGAAGTGAGCGAACGCCGGTATGTGTTCGCTCACTTCCCGATCTACTGAGCCGACCTGTGACAGTCTCATTGTCAAAGGTCGGCTAGAACTATGAGGTGAGTGAAAACTGAAAAGCACTCGCCTCATAGTTCTCCATTTAAACAAGCTGAAAAAAAAATAAAACATTTTTTAAATGGTAAGAACATTTACGCTTACATATTTTCAGTTGTGAATTTACCTGTCTATTTTCACTTGTATTTTTAAAGTTGTTGTTTTTTATATTCTAAATGCAATAACAAGAGCACAGAGTCAGAGAAGAAAGGCCGCATATTCCTTCAGGTAAACGGGACAGTTTGGCAGGTTGCCTAATCTACAAGAAAGATGCTATTTATATGGAAAAAGTCATGGCAGTGTTTTTATCCGCTCTCAAAATAAATGTTCTGTATAATGCAGATAATGAATAACAGACTTGTAAATTGCTCTTCTAAAACATTCCTTGGTCGTTTTTAAACAACATTCATAGTCAGAGGCTGCGCTCTTGTAACTGTCCACATTTTATCATAAAAACACAATAAAACTTGTAAGAATAGTTACCCGTATTCCAGATATGGAACTGATCTACGTATGATGGTGGGCGGATGACGAGGGCCAACAAGTGAACATTTGCAGCTTGTGTGGTTTGCGACTTTGATAGTTACAGGTTCTGGTGCTTGTGTAAGTGGTACAGAAATCTGAAAAACCTATAAAAGTGAATACATTTAGAATGCATAGCCAAAAAACTCTTGTTTACATTCCACTTCTGTGTTTGGTTGGGCTTTGTCTGGAACATGGAAATGAAGAAGGAGAAACAAAGTTCTGAAAGTGGGGAAAGGAATGGGCATGTGCCAAGGGAGGCACTTGAAGTGCTCATGGTTGGTTTTGTTTGTACAGATTATAACAACTCTGTAGGATCCGACAATTGGATAATTGTCATCTGATACAGGTGATCTTGGCAGGATCAGATGATTATGATGTTATCTATGGGGTACCAATAATAGGATCTTTCACCCTTTATTAACTCAAATAAAAAGAAAAATTAAAGTGGCATTAAAGTCAATCACCCCTCCCCCAATGCTGCTTTAAGGACTTACCTTAAGTGATGCCTCTTGATCCAAAAATCTTCTTCCTTTTAGTATTTTTCAGCAGTCCTTTCCATCGACATTGCCAGTCTCTGATCCAGCGCAGACTGCTGTCTCTTCCTGTCCCGCGATGTCTGTCCGACGTGCACGCTTTCAGCTGCGTGCATTGAATTACACAGTAGCTTTTCTGCTCTCCCCGCCGGTGAACTCCACTGTGCATGCGCCCACACACATTCTCCTGCACGGACCCCGAAAGAAGCTGGATTCTACAACCGGGAGCAAGCAGCGGAGACACAGGTACGTTTTTACCTATTTGGTACAATTTTTATTTTTTGGATTGTAAGCCCTCACGGGCAGGGCCCTCCTTACCATCTTGTCTTGAATTGTATTGTAATTGTAATGTCTTCCTTATATTGTAAAGTGCTGAGCAAACTTTTGCGCTGTATAAATCCTGTATAATAATAATATTTTTTTCAAATGTTTTAGCATATACAGTATCTACTGCTTGCCAGCAGTAGGTGTATGTAAAAGAAATAAGACTTTAATGTCCCTTTAAGGCCAACCGCTTTTCCTTTGTGTAATAAAATACCCTCAGATCATTGCCTAGTATTTAACCACAGTAAATTAGCCCCAAAAAAAAGCCATTACTATCCTATGAAAATGATCCAATATATGCGTAAAGAGGTTTTAACAACATTATGGTTGAATATGTAAACAATTTCAGGATATAGTTAGAACTATATTAAAGGTGAAGGCTTATAACTTGGCAGCATAGCCAATTGTCATAGTGTTGCCCCATTTTGCCTCCAGTGGCTGCTAATACTATAAAAGATGCTTGTTTACACGATTGCAAACTATGAGCAACCTAGATTTTGAGCCTAGATCAGATTTAATTTCACTAAATCCAAATCAGGAATTAAGCCCAGTGGTTTGTGCAGATGGACATTTCCTTTTTATTCAAGTAACAGACATCTACATCTTTAAAAACACATCTGTGTTCCAAAGTAAAATCCATGTAGTGATATATAATATTGAAAGGATAAATCTTGTCATGAAAAAATGAATAAACCGTCAAAGTAAAATACTATTACCGATTTCAGTACGTAGGATGTGCTGGTATTTAAGCAGGTAACTCCCTCTTCGTTACAACAGCCTCCACATCTGTACACTGAGACGCAGGGCGGTTTGAAGAACTTGTTAGTGGCAGTGCCAAGGTCCTTTGCAACATCAATGCAGGTTTCTCTGGGCATACACTGTGTCTTCTGCCATTCTTCGTCAATAACTGCCCAGAGAATAAAGAATAGTTTGATTATACTTTATGGATTACAATAGAGGTTCCTTTTTTTTATTAGTAAAGCACAGACTGCAGAGGGCTACTTTACAAGAAGCACCGTCATTTATTACTCTGTACATGCTTACCCAAGTGCAAGAAGAACAAATCTTGTTTCCAGCAAAAACTAATTTCCCTATCGTTGAAAATGATCAATAAAAACCTATTGAAATTAAAAACTAATTTCCCTCTAACAGTTTGATGTGCCTGGGAGTTTTTTTTGTAGGAGCATCTACATGTTTTACCTCTTTGCTACAATCTACCATTAACTAATTCAGTCTAGCTGTCCCCTACTGGCATTGCTTGCTTTGACATGGCCAGCACTTCTGAACTCACTGCAATCCATTAAAGAGCTAAGTATCATTGTTGAGGAATGAATGACAAACAGTGGAAAGAAGAGCCCTTTCCGTCTCAGCCACAGTCCCCACTTATCTGGTTTCACATGAATTGGCACCTTTTGTCCTTAAGAACTCCCAAGCAGTTTCACAAGCAGTACAATAAGCATGTCCTCTGCTGCATTATGCTGTAGTCTCATGTGTAGGCCTTTTTTGGCAAACAAAGTTGATAGCTCACCCTAGTTTTCGGATCCAAAAGTATACCATATTCCATACTTGCATAGTATTTGAGGTTGAATAAAGACACAGGTCAATCAAGTTCAAACGTTGTGTGTCTGTGTGTGATTGTGCATGTGTATGTGTGTACACGAGTCCCTGTGTGATCTTGTTTTTAAGAGTACCTGAACCCCAGTATGTTATGGTCTCTGAGGAAGGTTAGACTGAACTGGTTGGCCACCACTGGTCTACAGTATTAAAGTGCAACTAACCTCCAAAAATGAAGATTTGCTATGTTATAGGGAAAATCTAGATATGGTAATTCTGCATTAACTAATTTGCTTGGGTTTGGTTTGTGAACAGTTTTGCAAAGTTTGCAGCAAACTACAATGATGTCCATAGTGCTGGGGAGGGGGAGTGCAATCTTGATATTCAGTTCAACCTAAAAAGCAAGCTATTGTCAAGCAAAAGGCATGGGAAGCTGGGCACTGCCATGAGGGACATATGTCAATGGCAAAATAAAATTAATAAATAAAATAAATAAAATTTTATAATAAAAAAACAGTATCTGCCCCTACACAAGGTATTGTTGTACCTGTCAAGAGGTGTGTTGGGGTGCGTTTAGATAAATGGCAACGCAATACACCAGGCGCTTGGCATGTGGTGCAGTGTGCTTTGTCACAGTATGCACTATATGCACAGATACCTTTTCATTTAGTGCAATGCTATGGTGTGAACAAGCCCTAACTGAAAATTTACTACAGTAAACAAATACATTTTTCAGTTGCAGTTGGTTAGCATAAAGCACGGCTTGGAATAGAGAAGAGTACAACTAAGACCATTTCTAGTGGTATGTTGCCTTTTTTCTCGAGTGAATAAAATAACCATACACTTTATAAATTAATATCGTAAATGGACTCTGGTTAAACTTTGAAATTAAGTACAGGCCAGTTGTACTGCAGTATTATTTCTTTTATTCACTTTTTATAGATGTTTGGGAATACTACACAGAAAAGTGATGTCATGTTACTCCTATAATAGATATAGATACTTGAAAAAAGCAAAAAGAAAGGATCAAAGCATGCATATCAAGTATACTGTGTATTCTTGGGTGATAACCATACTATCTGCCTTGTATGTCCAGAAAGTAAGAGCAGCAAAACAATTTTTACAGATAATTTTATATAACAGATGAACATCGAAGAAAAACATTGCCAGCAAAACCTAATCCAGATGAACGTAAAAAAACCCCGAAACAAAACAGTATGAACTAAACACATGGCCATAGAATAACATTTTCTGCCTGAAGGCATTTGTACCATTTTTAGGCATGTTCCATGGCTGTGGCAATAATTTGGCCATCTCAATAACTTGTGTGTAACCAGGGTGAATATTAAAGTGACACTAAAATCAGGAGTTAAATCTTAAAAATGCATTCAAGTTCCCTAACTATTAACAAAAATGTATCTTATTTTTGTATCACTCAGCTGTAGATCATCAAATCATCTCTGAATTCATGCTGATGCTGTCCTTCCTTCTGGAGGGTGGCTCCTTTTGTTCCCCATGGTCCCTGTGTGTGTGTTTGTAAAGTAGTCACCACTCCAAGCTCACTCCTGTGATGTACTACAATCTCAATATAAATTAGTAAACTAAACGTGAGATTGTAGTTCACCACGGAAGGGAGCTTGGAGTGGTGGAAGGACACCATCAGCATGAATTCAGAGATGATTTGAGGATCTACAGCTGAGTGATACACAAATAAGATACATTTTTGTTAATAGTTAGGGTACTTAAATGCATTTTCAGGATTTAACTTCCCAGTTTAATGTAATTTTACTGAAACAGGTCAATAATTTAAATTTAAAGTGACATTAAACCCTCAGATTTTTTTACATAAAACAATACTGTAATGTGTGCCTTACTGTAATCCATGGTTCCTTCCCTTCTCTTTGCTGCTCTTCCTTTTAAATCTGTATCTCTTCTCATGCTGGGGGAGAACTTCCCTTTGCAGCTGACTGCCTCTTCCTGTAGTGCTGGCTCAGGTTGTGAACCTACACACAGACACCATGGGGGGAATTTATCAAAACTGGAGCAGAGAGAATCTGGAGCAGTTGCCCATGACAACCAATCAGCATCTCTCTTCAGTTTGCTCAGGTAAGATTTGAAAATGAGACAGAGACGCTGATTGGTTGCAGTGCAAATCTGCTCCAGATTTTGTCTGCTCCAGTTTTGATAAATTCCCCCCCATGTATCCATTTCAGAGACAAGGCAGTCTGCTGCAAAACAGAAGTTCTGCCCAGCATGAGAAGAGATATGGATTTAAAAGGAAGAGCAACAAAGAGAAGGGAAACAACCATGGATTACAGTAAGGCGTACATTACAGTATAGTTGTATGTTAAAAAATCTGAGGGTTTAATGTCACTTTAAGTTACTAAGTCCCTTTAAACTGAATGTCACTTAAGACCAATAGGTCACCCTATCCCCTACCATCTTTCCATCAGCCAAAGTTCCTATTTATAAACAATCTTTTTAATTGAAAAGGAATTATCTGTCCCTGCAGAAAGTCCCATCAAACTCAAGCTAAATGGGGTTTTTTCTTTGTTGTTTTAAATTATTCTATTTTCAATGTCACTGAAAGCAATCAAATCCATAATGGATAAATAGTTTATTGTTACATGTATGGTCAGCATTAGATTTACCAGCAATTATGATATGTGACAACCTGCCTGGCTGGATATAAATTGAATTAATTGCCTAGGTAGGTCTAACTTAACAATCAATAATTGATCAACCAATGAAAATGTCACCATAGGTTCTAATATGTGTACTGAACTTAAAGGAGAACTATGGGGTTAGGGCTTTTCCCCATAGTTCCCCTAAGGGTAACGGGAGGACACAAACTAGCGTCCTCCCATCACCCAAAGCTCAGTACAGCTCGCGGTATACCGAGATGCCACAGCCGAAACGGATCCCGACAATTCTGTCTGGATCCACCCAGCTGCGTGAGTGACAATTGGCTCTGCCTATCTAGAGGCAGAGCCAGCTGTACCCGCCCCCTCCCCCGTCCTTTCCGCCAGTCAGCGCTGGAGAATCGGACAGGGGAGGGGGGGATCCCTGCAGGGAGCTGTGAGTGACAGTCACGGCTCTCTGCAGGGATAGATCAAGAAGTGAGCGAGCCAATGTGTTCGCTCACAGCGGCAGTGGTGTATCCTGGTTTGGGGCTGCCCTAGGCAAGACAAAACTCGGCGCCCCCCCACACACTAAATGTACCCCACCTGACTGGTCTCAGGTGGGCTCTGCAGGGTTTGTGGTGGGCTTTGCAGGCAGCGGAGCCCACTATGGATTCTGCAAAGCCCACCACAGATCCTGCAAAGCCCCCTGAGACCCAACAAAGCCCTCTACGGATCCTGCAGAGCCAACCAAAAGGTATTGCACAGCACACCTGAGACTCTTTGGTGGGCTGTGCAGAATCTATGCTGGGCTCTGCCAGCACAGTCCTCTTACCTTGCACGGCCTGACCTCTTTGGAACACGGCCTGACCTCTTTGGAACACGTCCTCCTCATCCTCGGCGCCCGACACGGCCTCCTTATCTTCTCCACCCGACTGGAGCTCCGGCGACGCCTCCCACCTCCTCAGTCGCTGGGGCCACTTGCTGCCATGTTTGCACGCCGCCTCTTCCATGAGGAGGCTGTGAGGCGGCACGTCGGTCCCGGTGGTCGATTAGGAAGGTCTGCTGCAGACCTTCCCAATCGATCCTGCACAATCCTTTCGGCCAGCGTTCACTGAAAGAGCGCTGGCCGAAATTATCCGAGTGCCGGCGCAGACCTCAGCTACAAGGTCTGCATCCGACAGAGATGCAGACCGTGTAGCTGCTCTCGCAAGTCTGTGACCGCGTACCTGACTTCTGAGCTGGCTGCGGGTCACAAAGTCCTGGCTCGCGGGCCGGTACATTGAAACCCCGGCATTTTTGCCGCTCCCTAGTAATCTGCCGCTCGAGGCAAACGCCTTGTTTGCCTCGCAGCAGATACGCCCCTGCACAGCGGTATGTGTTCGCTCACTTCCCGATCTACTGAGCCGACCTGTGACAGTTTCATTGTCACAGGTCGGCTCAGATTATGAGGCTGAGTGAAAATCCCTCACCTCATAATTCTCCTTTAAGTCAAGGAAGGCAAGGGATTGTCAACCACAAATCACACCCATATGATCAAAAACCAGCCTGGCCAAATTGTTTAGTTTGTTTTTGGCAATCATTAGCAGAGTGATTAATACTGGATCAGACTAGCCCACTCTGAAAACCGTTAAACATTATCATCAACAATATACTGAGTTGTGATCCAGCCAACTGCTATCCAGAGATGTGGAAACATTGAACAAGTTGGATAACTTTAACAAATTGAAGT